GTACCTAATAACGTCCAAAAAAAATTGTCGTTTGTTTAGGATTTTGTAAATGGCCCATTTGCAGCCTTTGTTAAACTGGTTTGTTACATGGTAATTTACAGGCAATAATGAAGAATAATATAGAACATAATAATTCATAGTAGTTTAACTGCTAAACACAAATAATTTAAAAACTTGACAAAATAGAAAACATGTTTAGATTTAGTCGTTTAACCATAATATGTAATAATATGCAGAGTGTTGTATTTAAAAGTGTCAAGTTGGGCAACACGTTTTGAACAGTCCTGATGTTTTCGATTGTTTTGCTTGATATGAAATAAAAATCGGCGGCTGCGAGTGGTTTGCCTATTATAAAATGTGTTGTCAGTTTTTTTAAGCACTAGCCTTACACGAATATTTACAACAGATCGAAATTTATACCAATATACTGGGCATTCCTTTAACAAAGCAAAGGATGAATAAGTTTCTGATACAACCGCTAGTGTTTGCACCACACCAACAACAAAGAGTTTTATTAATCGAACCTTGATATAACCAGCAATGCAGTTTCTCCCGAATAGTTAGAGAGTCACCATGAATGTAGCAAAAATTTAAATGCAAATGTACAGTTAATTCTCATTGCTTTGCTAAAAATAGGCGATTTTAATTTAAGAAGTAAAGCTCGAGCATATTTGAAAAGAGCCGTGAATCGTTGGTATCAAATTTGCAATTCCAACTCGATATTGGCAAAGCCAAGAGACCTTTTCGCATAAGTATTTTAATTTACTTCACGTCACGTATTGTATTTCCTGTAGCGAGTGCCGATTCACTATCCATAAACGAAACAGTTCACCTCCACGACTTGGATGTGAATTTCAAATTACCAGCCTACTGATGGGGCGCGCACAATTTGAAAATATGGATACATTAATATTTGTCGAAAGAACGCAGTTCCTTTAACATATAAGTGCATGCAAATTGACCAATCCGCATGGAAGTCATGACTAAGGCAGGTTGCATGCACAGGTGAAACCACCCAAGAACATTATAAAAATTGGAGAAAGGAACTCCTTTATAAAATAAAATTTAAAAAAAGTAAAAACCTACTAAATAAAATTATATACTTACGTCAAATGAATCAAAACATCCGCGCGAATAGACCATTCTATGAGCTGATCCTGGTCCACTACCGGGAGAAAATCGGATGGACGAACCCATTGACATATTCGGCTCGAAAGGTTTACTTCCTGGCTTTGCAGGTGTGCTGGTGTTTAATGGATTATATCCAATCGACTGAAAAATTGTTATAATTAATTAATAGTTTTATTCATTTTAGAGTAATTCTTCCATGTTTTTGGAAATTTAAAATCGTTAAAGAACTACGCTTGATTTCAACCAAAAAGTGTTTTGAATGTTTTCGCTTATGTGCACTTAAAGTTCCATTATTTCCAGAAACGCACTTAGAAAGCCAAACCAAGAAAAATCAGTAGTCATAAATCAATAGTCATAAAAATTGGCCTATTGATCCGGAGAAGTTTTGCTTGATGCAGATTTGGACTACTTCAAACTACCTTTAACATGTCTTTCAGAGCATGGTTTTCGTGCTGTAGCTTTTTGTTGGCGTTGTAAAACCCGATGCATTCTTTCTTGGCCAAGTTGTATCTTTTGTTGAGTCCTTGAAGGTATAAATCTTTGTGCATCGACTGGAAGGTCAAAATCTGCAATAATTCGCGTTCTTAGGACTGATATGACCAAAACAAACTGTTTTCACTCACTTGCAGGGAATTCTGGACGACATTTTCAATGGGCCAAAAAAACATCTGCATCTTGCTGTCCATGTTCTTCGAAATTTCCATCGAACTGATCGATTTGTTGCAAACGATACATTTCTCAGATTGTGCTGTTGAGCAAACGAAAAAATTATATTGCTATTTATCGATCAAAGCGAATAATGCAAAGTGAGAATTTGCTTTATTATACACTGTGTGCAAAATAAGAAGGACTAATATGGGGATATCGGACACCGTACCAACAGAAAAATAATTATATTTTTGGTCACACAAACAAAGTCCTGATTTATGCAAAGAGTGAATAATTACAATCAGAGTTAGTTAGAAAGAGTTACAATCAGGGGCGGATC